TCAGGCCATCCAAGATGTAGATGAGTTTGTTTCTTCATCAGATTTGGAGAAATGTAGCATTGCATCACTCGCTCACCAATGGATGCTCTGCAGTGAATGGGTGCCGTCAGAATGAGAGTCCAAACAAAAACAAAAAGCTGCATGTTTGTAAGAAACTAATCCATCGTTAAGATTTTTTAACTTCAAACCGTCGCTTAAAATAGTCCTCTATTAATAATATTGCTTTCTTCTAGGGCTGCACGATAAATCGCATGCGATATTTAATGCGCATCTTGTCAGAAAGCCGGTTCTGTAATCAGCGGTAAATCTCCATCACGTGCGTGCTTTCACATTGAGCAGCATTAACTACACAGAGCCGTTGTTCTGACGAGCAGCGCAAAAAATCGCACGAATATGAACGTGGTTTTGCGCAGCTCGTCAGAGAACAACGGCTCTGTGTAGTTAATGCTGCTCAATGTGAAAGACCGCAGGTGATGGAGATTTACCGCTGATTACAGAACCGGCTTTACTGACAAGATGCGCGTTAAATATCGCATGCGATTTATCGTGCAGCCCTACTTTCTTCAGTGAAAAAATCGTCTTGTCTGAATTAGGTGAGAAATATCCACAGATCAAGGAAACACGCAGCTTTTCACTTGATGGAAATTCAGCTTTGCATCACAGAAATAAATTATATTTTAAAGGATATTAAAATAGAAACTATTATTTTATATTGTAATAACATTTTGCAAGATTACTGTTTTTTTTCTGTATTTTTGATCAAATAAATGCAGCCTTGATGAGCATAAGAGACTTCTTTAAAAAACATTACAAGTCTCACTGATCCCAAACTTTTGACTGGTGGTGTATACAAAAGTATGTGTACATTTTAAAGGAATATTTCATCTAAAAATAAAACTTTGATGAAAATGTACTCCCCCTCAGGCCGTTCAAGATGTAGATGAGTTTGTTTCTTCATCAGATTTGGAGAAATGTAGCATTGCATCACTCGCTCACCAATGGATGCTCTGCAGTGAATGATGTTTTTATTAGCTGTTTGGACTCTCATTCTGACGGCACCCATTCACTGCAGAGGATCCATTGCTGAGCGAGTGATGCAATGTTACATTTCTCCAAATCTGATGAAGAAACAAACTCATCTACATCTTGGATGGCCTGAGGTTGAGTACATTTTTAGCAAATTGAAATAATAATTTTTGGGTGAACTATTCCTTTAAAACGGAATTGTTCAAAGGGTCAAAGATGGAATGCAGCTTACATATGAAGTTGAGCGAGTGTTGAGATGAACCTTCACATAACCACGCAGGCCTGTTTTCATGGTAAGTCCAGACCTCATCACATGACTGTACCATAGCAACAGACACACAGAGATGAGGAGGAGGCAGATCCAGTGAAACCTCTGAGGAATGAAGGATGTGAGACAGGTTCATTCATAGTCAGTAATAAACTGTTTTTTTGTTTGTTTTTACTGTACCAGGGATTTCATGTCCTGTTGAGGCTGAAGCTCCAACCCAGGTGCTGAACTGGGGAGCAAACCCTCATTTTCCTGAGAAAATATAAAAACTCAATTGAATTCTTCCAACAAGCACTCACTGGACACACATATGTGAAAAATTGTATATATATATATATATATATGTATGTATGTATTTTTTCACTACTGTGGCGTTTGATTACAGTCAGAAACCTGCTGACAATGATAAACTTTTATCGCAGCGCAACGACAATAAACACATTATGAAATCAATATACAAGCCATTGCATAATGATTTTATGTGCCTTAACTGTAATCGCATATTAGTATATGGACAGCATGAAAACAATAGATAACAACATAATTAGCTGTAAGATTAGCCTTCTTACGTTTTCCCTTGGCACGCTGATATTTACGGTCCGAGAGGAAAGCCCTGCTGTGACTTTAGTTCCGCCTCTGAGTGTGATGCTGGAGGTATAACAACAACAAGTAGATTACTTAAATTGTATATTACTCTTAAAATAAGAGAATACATTTTGGATTACGTAGAAAAAAGTATTAAGGAAAAACATTTATTTAATTATTTAACGAGATATTAACAGATGTAAATGACTCATATCGCAAATTTTAGAATAAACAAAATAAATAAATAAAAATACCATTATCATACTTTATCATCGGCATTTTCCCGTTTATCATGGTAACCGGTCTGTAAAAATTAATAAAATATTGTTTTGTTATTTTGTGTTATTTCGACTTTTGATGACAGTGGACTAAGTACCACATAATGAATATTGCATATTTTATCATACAATGTGTATTGCACGTAATCGTAATATTATTTAACGACTAAAAACACATCTGTTCCACCTTTATTTGACCCTCTAACTCTAGCACTTTCTATAATATTTTAAATTTTACTTTATCTATATTTATCTTCCTTTTTTATTTAAAAACAAAAAAACACTAGCTTTCTATTTTTTCTATTCTATCTACTTGTTTTTCTTTGTGTGTGTATGTATATGTGTGTGTGTAATATATATATATTAGCTTTTGTTAGTTTTGACTGCTTTTATTGTCCTCATTTGTAAGTCGCTTTGGATAAAAGCGTCTGCTAAATGACTAAATGACTAAATGTAAATGTAAATATTTATATGTTAAAAATATATTATTATTATTATTATTATTATTATATTATGATTATTATTATTATTAATAATAATAATAAT